TTTTTTTTTTTTTTGAATTTTGGTTTAATTTCCTCATCTGTTAGTTGAACAAGTAAATGAAATGGGCGTGAATCTGAAAATCAGAGAAGAGAAGGAAACTTAAAACTCTTTGTGCCTTAGGGATCATTTAAATAGATTTCTTTGCATTCATCTGTCTTTCTTTTTTTTTTTTCAAACCTTTAGCCAGTGATGGGGTCTACAAATAAAGTTGGTAACCGGTAGACTTCCCGCTGATGGCGTTCCAAGTTGGCATGTTAAGTTGTTAAAAAAGTTTGAGTTGGCGCTGACATGTGCATACTTGACTGAAGCCAACGGTGCAACGTTAAATTTTGCCTCATTTCCTCAAACTCAAAAATATTGAGGGTAAAAATTCATGTATTGTAATATGGAGGGTAAAAACCCTCAAATTCAAAAAGTTAAAGGACAAATGGGTACCTTTTGCCTTTTTTTTCCATGTCACTAGCAAGGTTTTTAAAACCGGATCAGATCGGTCGGTTGAATCGATCGGACCGGTACTCGGTAATGAAAACAGTTTGGTCTACATAAAAAACCATTTGAGGTCAAAACCGATCAAAAACCGTTCAAAACCGATCAAAACTGGTGAAACCGGTGGAACCAGTAGAATCGAAAAAATCACCGGTTCAATTTCTCATGCAATTTTCTTTCATTTTTTCCAATTTCACCCTCACCATTCCTTTTTTATACCGATTTTAACCTTTAATTTTAATAAAATTACAAAATTACTTGCCCCTCTCATCAGATTTCCCTTGTTATTTGAATCGGTTGGTTCACCGGTTCAACCGGTTGAACCGATCAAATCAGAAATCGGACTCGAAAACGGTTCAATGACCAGTCCGGTTTTAAAAACCTTGGTCACTATTTAAGAAAACAGAATTGATTTGTTGGCAAGTTAACGTGCCACCTGTTCATTTAACTAATGGAAGGACTGTTTTGGTATCGAAATAAAAGTTTAAGGATAATTTTAGTACTTTTTAAAGTTGAAAGACAATTTTGATGCCAAAGTGGAAGTTGAGGAACCAAAATGGTATGTAAACCTTTTTAAATAAAAATAAAAAATATATAAATATATAAATATAAATAAAAGTTATTCAACAAACCCTAACAAAAAAATAGCCCAGCACATGTTCATTCAAGATTTTAAGAATTCTCAACTTATATACCTTCTAGAAAGAACAATTCCCTTGATCCCTTGTGATATAGGGAAGTCTCCCAAGAAAAGTGGGAAATGGGAAAAGGAATATATCTTCGTAATTTTTCTATTTTGGACAATGGGAAATTGGGGAAGAGGGAATGCTGTAATAGATTCGAACTCGGTTATAGATTTGGCACACTCGTATTAGTGCAGCTAATTCTGTGGGTGCTACTTTAAAGTTATAGATCTTATGTTTTTTCTAATAGATAGTTTGATGATTGGTCATGAAAAATGTTGGAGATTGTAATGTAATTCAAAGCCTGAGAATAAATCGAAAAGGACTGAATACTTATATTTACATTAGAAATGTTTTGTATAATTTGAATTACATCCAATTGTATAAA